CCTGTGAGATGCAAGCATGACTAGGCTTTGGTGATCTCCAGAAGACCGTGGGCACAGGCGTGAAATGGCCGTCACCTCCCTGCCCCGCCCTCTCTACCCCACCCCCACCCCCACCCGAAGGTCGTGCCCACTGCCCCAAGGGTAAATTCCCCACGCTATTCTTAGTCGCCACAGCCCTGGCCCTGGGCATCTGGCTGCTTGTCTGGTGGCCAAGAACCGGTGCCTGTGCCCTCTGCTTTCCGGAGAGCAGAGGAAGGACCGCAGGGGGAGCTGTTTACCCGGTGACAGTGGAAAAACAACCAACGGCTGGAGGAGCCCACCCCGCCTGCTCGGCGCGGCCATGACTCTTCTCTCCAAGGCCTGTTTCATTGTGCAAGCGGAAGGTACAGTTGATCCCACGCATGAGAAATGGCCAGAACTGGCAGACCCAGAGAGAGAAAAGAGCTCACTGGAGGGGGTGATCGCTAAGGGGCATGGCGTTGGCATTTGGGGGTGACGGAAATGCGCTGGAACCAGAGTGGTGGCAGTTGCAGGAAATCAGCAATTCTACTGAAAACCAGCGACTTGTCCGCCTGAAGCGAGCGAGCGGATGCTGTGATTTATGACTCCATGGAAAACGCGCCAAGCCCACCTCCCCAGCCTGGTTTCTGCCTGTGGCCTTCTGCATTTCTGGTATGGCAAATGTTGACAGCTATTTGCCTCTTGGAGTCCTCATGAATTTTCAGGCCTGAGACCAACAAGCCCGAGGCGGCTGGGGCAGGTGGCGGGGGCGGGCGGGCGCGGCTCCAGCATCTCAAAACCCCAGAAGCATCTGCCCCGGCCACACAGCTCCGGCAAGGCCAGCTTCAGATGGAGAACAGCGACTGCCACCTGCTTCTCGATGTTCCAGGAAGGACACATCAGCTACTGTCTGTCACCACCCTCGGAACCGGGAGAGCACAGGCCTGACGATGCCCGCAGAAGGCAGCAGAGCCGGGGCCGGAGCCCCCCGAGTCCCCGTGACAACTGTCAGTCCTCCCAGGAAGACTCTGGGTACAAAGTCTTCAAAATCCAGAACACGTGTCACTCTTTGAACGGATCGCAGCTCAGACGGGGGACGTCACAGATGGATCAGGTCCGGGGGGGACAGGGAGAGACAGTTGTTCGGAACCAAGGGGCTAGCTGCACTGAAGGAAGCCACAGAAAGAGGTGTCCTAGGAGTCAAGCGGCTTCTTGGGGTTCCTACTAACAATGGGCGGTATTTATGGGCGCTGGTGAACTTGCTCCAAGTCCTAAGTCTCTGGGTGCTCAGAGGTGCAGACAGGATCGGGCAGTCGCTTCCAAGCCTCGCGCTCCCTAGGGGAAGCTGCGCCCCGGGAACCGGCCGCCCGAGCAGGAGAACAGAGGGTCGGAGGGCCCCGCGCCCAGCCGCTCAGGGCTCAACAAGTCTGTCCTCAGTAGGCGCAGTGGCTGCAGCCCCCCACTTTATAGGAGGGAACACCGGGGTGAATAGGTCTCTCTGCATGGTCCCGTGACAGGCCTGCTCTGGGCTTTCGAAGGGAACTAGCCCATGTCACCCCACTGCAGGGCGCGGGGCCAGCCCGACACCAAACACCAAACCGCTCACATCTGAGATGAAGGAGGTCCCCGCCACGGGAAGCCACCTCGCCCTGAGCAAGCTGGTCTGGCCTTCAGCGGCGGGCAGGCGCCAGCGAGGGGCAGACGGGGGTACTGGACGCTCACTAACAGGGCAGCTGGACACGGAGGCGTGCCGCCGTCGTCAGCCGGGGCCCCCAAAACCAACTGCCACACGTGGGGAGCTCAGTCAACAGAGTTTCTTCCAACACTCTGGAGGCCGGAAGTCCAAGGTCAGAGCTGGCAGGGTCAGAGTGGGGTGACGGTTCCCTAACTGGACATCAAATGGAGAGAGGGCTCCCTGTCTCCTCCACGCCGAGGTTTTTATTTTTTATATCCAGAAATTGGTTTCTGTTTTATTTGAGTTCATCTGTTGTGACTTGCTTGCCTCCCCCCGCTAATGACGCCAGCCCCAAGAGGAGGGCGCCGTGCTCATGACCGCATGTAACCCCGACGACTGGGGATCCAGGCATCCACGTATGAGCTGGGAGCACAAAGATGCTGTCCATAAGCACATGCGGCTTTCTGTCGCTATGAAGCTGGGAGACACTGACCAGTCTGCGGGTGTCAGAGCTTTCACCCAGCACTCCCGCAAGCCCCTCAATAAGATGGTGTGATCCCCAAAACACACAAAAGCCAACCCCTGAAGCCACCGAGCAGGCCAGCACCACACCCCCATTCGGACAGGTCAGCCACTGGCCACGCCCCGTGAAATCACACGAGATTTCATTTCCTCACTCTATCAATAGGCAGCCAGAGGACCTAGGTGGGACCAAACACGAGGGCCAGAAGATAAGACATCTGAGTCTGTGGGTGCGCCCCCAGTAGTGACTCAACTCTACCCTTGTATGGTTAAAGCAGCCTGGCTGTGTTCCAATGAAATGTTATTAATGGCCCTGACATCTGATCACATATAAGTATCACAGGTCACAAAATATTCTTTTCATTTTTTCCAATTATTTTTATTAAAGATTTATTTACTTATGCATAGAAGAACAGGCCAGAGTTGCAGGGGTAAAAGGAGTCACCAGAGTCAGAGTGTGGAACAGAACAGGCAGACTGACAAAAATATACTGCTGAGGCCCTCCCTGGTGGCGCAGCGGGTTAAAGCACAGCACTGAGAATCTGAAGCCACTTCCGTATGAGTTCGATTCCCGCCTGCCCCGGAGGAGACCACATGGCGTGGCAGACCTCTCCTGACCCGCCCGCTGCTCCCCTCAGCAGTGTACTTCGTCGATCTGCCTGTTCTGCTCCCCACTCTGTCTCTGGTGAAGCCTCTCACCGCCCCTGAGCCTCTGGCCTGTACCCCAGTTCTGTATGAATAAATAAATAAATCTTTAAAAAAATATATATATACTGCTGAGGGAAACAGTGGGGAGACAGGAGGGGTCTGCTGCGCCCTGTGGGTCACTCCCTGGCTGGGGATTGAACTTGTGCTGCAGTGGCTTCATAGTGCTGTGACTTAACCCCTTGCACCACGGGGAAGGCCTGGGTTTTGACATTTTAAAATAATTGGAAAAAAATTGGCCCACCCCCGTGGAGCAAGGGGTTAAGTCACAGCACTATGAAGCTGTCTGCAGCCACTGCAGCACGAGTTCAATCCCCGGCCAGGGAGCTGACGCACAGGGCTCAGCGGACCCCTCCTGACTCCCCACTAACCCCCTCCCCACCTCCCCAGCGTACTTCAGTGGATCCTTCTGTTCTGCTCCCCACTCCGTCTATGATGAACCCTCTCATCCACCCCCTGACCCTGCATCCCAATTCTTGTATGCATAAATAAATGAATCTTAAAAAAATAAAATATTGAAGCCCTTCTTAGTTTGCAGACTGTACAAAGACATGTAGCAGTTGTAAATCATATATATGATATGGGAATTGTGGCAGAATTTATAAATAGCTTAAAATTTGGTGATAAAAACGACAAGTGGGCCCTCCCTGGTGGCTCAGCGGGTTAAAGCATAGCACTGAGAATCTAAAGCCGCTTCCGCATGAGTTCGATTCCCGCCTGCCCCGGAGGAGACCACATGGCGTGGCAGACCTCTCCTGACCCGCCCGCTGCTCCCCTCAGCAGTGTACTTCGTTGATCTGCCTGTTCTGTTCCCCACTCTGTCTCTGGTGAAGCCTCTCGCCGCCCCTGAGCCTCTGGCCTGTACCCCAGTTCTGTATGCACAAATAAATAAATCTTTAAAAAAACAAACAAACAAACAAACAACAAAAAAAACGACAAGTGACCTGACTTTAAAATGGGTAAAGAGTCTGAATAGACATTTCTGCAAAGAAGAAACACGACTGGCCAATAACGTGGCAAGATGCTTGACACCGCTGTCATTAAAGAAATGCAAGCAAGACCACAGTGACATACCCACTAGGGACACCATAGTCAAAAATACGGACGGTCTCTGTGGTGGTTCAAGGGGCTGAGTCTCAGCACTATGAAGCTGCCCGCAGCCACTGCAGCATGAGTTTGATCCCAGGCCAGGGAATGACCCACAGGGCGCAGCAGACCTCCCCCCGCTGCTCCCCTCAGCAGTGGACTTCGTCGATCTGCCTGTTCTGCTCCCCACTCTGTCTCTGGTGAATCCTCTCACCCCCTGCATCTCTGGCCTGTACCCCAGTTCTGTGTGTATAAATAAATAAATCTTTTTTAAAAAGCCCATGAAGGATTATATAAACAATGTAACCCCAAGTGATAAAGACATGTAAACAACTGACAAAAAAGAAAAATTCAAGATTTAAAAAAGGTCAGATTATAAAAAGTGTGGAGACTGGACTGGGCCCTCCCGCACTGAGGCGGGGTGTAGGCAGTGCAGCCACTCGGGAAGGGTGTGAACAACACGGATGCCAGTGGACAGGCAGGGGGAGTCCATCCGCACGGGGGGCCGCTCTTCTGCCATGGAAAGATCGCACCACTGACCCACGCTACCAAAAGGACGAAAACATTATACTAAGTGGAAGAAGCCAGAGGCAACAAGATTAGATTAGATTGTGGATTAGCCAAATCCACAGACGAAAACGATTAGTTGGGACTGGAGGTGAGGTGGGAGACAAGGGCGGGTGAGCGCTACCGAGTACTGGGCATCTTTTTGGGGTGGTGCAAATGTCCTGAAATTGACTTTGGTGATGGCAGGACAACACTGTGAATGTACTGAAATGAACTGCACTCTTTGCGTGGGACATATTCCAGTCAGGAAAAACAAGGATTTTTCTTTTAGAATTTGCATTTGGCCTGTTGACCCTGGCTTGGAGGAACAAGTGACATGAGCTTACAAAGAAGTGAAAAGACAAATTCAGAAGAGGGGGTGATCAGAAACAGAACTGACTCCGTTTCCTCAATAAGTCATTTATACCAAGAAAAGGACAGAATGCCGTTGGAGGAAAGACAATTCTAAATTGAGAGGAATTTCACACAGATAATAGAAACGACTAATTTAAACAAACGAAAGCATTTAAGGCATTTTTGAGACACAGGATTTGATTACTGACCAGGCCACAATAAGCTAGAATCACACTGCTTCTGTTCAGTGTGATAATGGTGTTGAGATGATGGAAGAAAATATCCCTGATTTTACACATGCAACCTGAAATTGCTTGCATGGTACTACATGCATGACTATGTAGGGGTGGAATGTAGCGATTCTGTGATGGTTAAGACTGGCTTTATATATACGTAATTAAAAACATACATGTCAGCCAGAATGGCAAACATTCAGAACTGGTGCATCTGGGTGATGGGGATTTTTTTTTTCTAAAAGATTTATTTATTTACTTATGCAAACAAGAGCTGTGGTGTAGGGCAGAGGGGTTGGGGGAGTGAGAGGATTCCCCAGAGACAGGGTAGGGAGCAGAACAGGCTGATCCACTGAGTGACACTGCTGAAGTGAGCAGTGCGGAGACAGGAGAGGTCCGCGGAGCCATGTGGGTATGTCCCTGGCCTGGGATCGGGGTTCGAACTCAGGCAGCAGTGGCTGCAGATTGCTCGACAGCGCTGAGATTTAACTGCTTGAGCCCCCAGGGAGGGCCCGACAGGGGTTCTTACACTGTTTCTCACTTTTGTATGTTTGAACTTCTTCATAATAAAACATTAAAGGATCCTTCAAGGTCCAAGTTCACACCGAATGGGCAGCACAGTCAGGACGGTAGCCAGGACGGTAGCCCTGGACTGCCTGACCCCAAAGATCCACAGAGAAAAATAGTGACCTCCACCCCCCACTCCGAGGGGAAGGGGGGGTCACAAGGGCGCACAGAAGGCGGGCGGCGGCACGATCTTCCCCTGTCCCATTCTGCGTCCACGCTCCCACCAGACTGCGAAACTGCGGCCGGACGAGGGCGTCCTCCTTGCTCAACTCGGGCTCCTCTGACCCACAGGAGTTCCAGTTTCTTCCTCTGGGACCCCAGATCATTGTCCACGACCAAACAACTACAACACCCCCACCCCACCCCCCAGAACCGCCCGACGGACCGGCTACCTCCGGGCATGCTGGGAGATGTAGTTCAGCGCAAACTCAGGGCGCCTGCAGCGATCTGCTCATGGTTGACCAGGAAATGGGAGTTGGAACCCCTGTTCCTGTCTCCGTGGGGACCCCAAGGCCCTGGCCCGCGGGAAGGCGACCCCAGCAACACTATTTCACCACCGTGGGGAACTCACCTCTCAAACGACTCCTCGACCCTCAGTGGCTTCTTCAACTGCGCCCAGACACCGGAAAAGAGCGTTGTTTTCGTTCCCCGCCCCGCCCACTTCCGCCCGGCTGAAGATAACGGAAGTAGAGCTGCCCCTAGTTGCAGAGGGAACTCGTTTGGCCTGGAGAGTCCTCTCTTTTCTCCTCCCTCAGGAAACGTGAGCGGCAATTCAAAGATTCCGGTTAGTGAATGAGAGCGACGACGGTGGACGAGATGAGGACGGACGCTCGGTATATATCAAGCGTTTACCGGGTCGGACAAATTCCTGCTTGTAGCTAGCGTTTGCATCTCTCCAGGATGGAGTTTACGGACTATCACCTCCCACAGAAACTGGGAAGTGCACGTCCCCAAGTTTGTCATCCACTTTTCTTGCTCAGCTGTTGAGACAATTGAGAAGTACTTCTGTCCCCATTTTATGCAGGGAGCAATTGAGAAATCTGGAAGCCAAAGTCGTTAAAAATCACCTCAGGAGCAGGAATTGTCTACGGCATTGCCTAGCTGCTCCCAGGGACCAATGCACAGAGTTCCCACAACTTTTCAGATATCTAGATAAATACACATTTATTTCCCTGGAGTGATGGGGCAGGAAGAGAGAAGCAGTGAAGAATCATATTCAGTCTCCTAAGTACCCCCAAGATTTCTTTTTTTTTTTTTAAGATTTATTTATGCATACAAGAACCGTGATACAGGCCAGAGATGCAGGTAGTGAGAGGATTCACCCAAGACAGAGTGGGAAGCAGAACAATGTGTTGACTGAAACACACTGTTAAGGGGAGCAAAGGGCAGGACAGGAGAGGTCTGCTGTGCCATGTGGCTCCCTGGCCAGGGATCGGAATCATGCTGCCATAGCTGCGGATGGCTTCATAGTGCTGCACTTTAACCTGTTTCGCCACCAGGGAGGGCACACCACCAAGGTTTCTTAGACCCTGACTTCCCTGGGACTCTAAACTTTAGGTCATTCATCCCAAGGTCCCTTTAAATATTTGTCCCTTACCTGAGTCCCGCCCATGGCAGGTAATTGCAAACCACGCCCCCTCTGCCAGAAACCGGGATCCAAACCTTTATAGGGTAGTGGGGCTCCCCTCCTCTTCTCCCCCCTTTCCTGTTCCCCTTCACAGTTGGTAGCAGCTGGCCAAGGAGGCCTGATAAGGAGGAGGGGACCGTGCTCCCAAGGCTGGGCAGGTAAGTGAACATTCCTGGGGCAGAACCTGGCAGGAGATCTCAGGTGTCTGGCTCCCCGGCCCACATGGATTCAGAAGTATTTGCCCCCCAAGCCTGAGTCCAGGACCCTTCCTTCCCTGGAACCCAGGAACATGGGTCACTGTTCTTGCCTCATCTGTAATCTTTGCTTGCTGTGGGTAGATGTGTCAATGGCACAGAGGCAGGTACACCTGGGCATTACCAGGAGGAAGTGTCCATCACCCCTGGACCTGTTTATGAGCACCTACTATGCGCCCAAAGACTTTGCTGGGTGTGGCGGGCAAAATGGAGAAGAGATAAGCACCCTGCTTGGGTCTCTGGAGTACAGAGCCACGGGCGGGCACTGCAAAGCGATGACCGTGGACAAGTGGCTTAAGCGCGCTGTGTCTCTGGTCCCTCATCTATAAGATGGGGCTCATGGTAGGACTGTTGAGAACGGTAAACTGAGTTGCTAGGTTCACTACCTTGACCTTGTCTGGTCTAACTACAGCCGTGTAAGTGGCTGCTGTTAGTATTAGAACTCATGAAGATCCAGGTAGGAAGACCGGCCCATTTGCGGGGGCCAGGACACGTGTCATCTATACCACAGCTGGTTCCAGGTGTCCACAAAATATGAGGGGCCACCCCTCTCTGCTGCTGCTCTACCTGGGACTGAGCACCTGCCTGCATACCTTGCCTAGGGCAGAGCAAGACCAAGGTGAGTGTCTAGGAGCTGACCAGACCCCAGAACCCTGGCATCTAGCCCTCCCCACCCCGCCCCTGCCCTGGGCCCCATAATCCTCTGTCTCCTGAGGTTCAAATTGCTCCATGTCTCCAGTCCTGTGAACCCTCCCTTTCTCCCTCCCCATGTCCTTTGGGTCCAGAAGTCTTTCTGGACTCCCCGGAGGCCCAGAGCTTCCTGAGAAGCCACAGTCGCGTCCGGAGAGCCAATCACTGGGACCTGGAGCTGCTCACGCCCGGGAACCTGGAGCGGGAGTGTGTGGAGGAACAGTGCTCCTGGGAGGAGGCCAGGGAGGTCTTCGAGGACAACGCTCTGACGGTGAGGCCTGGGCCCCGGTGTCTCCCCTCTGGTCTCCTAAGTCTGGGCAGGCTGGTTTGTGGTGGTGTGGACTCTCCCAAGTGACACGTCGCCTCTCTGCCAACTTCTCCATTCCTGCCCCTTCCAGGAGCGTTTCTGGGAGAACTACATCTACAACGGCAAAGGGGGTGAGTGTGTGGTGGGGGTCGCCCATTCCGTGCCACTGAGGCAGCGCCTTAGCAAGGAGGCTGAACCAGTACCCCCAAGCCTGCTCCCCCAATTCCATGCTCCTGAGTTTGGGAAGCTGGTTGTTGAAGGAGTGTCTGCCTGAAGAACCTACCCCATCTCATGGGGAGGGGCTCCCTCTGTCCACAGGAAAGGAGCTTCTGGCCCAGGAGGGGCCCCTCAGGCCTCAGGCCTCAGGCTCCAGGCACTGACCCCTGAGCCTCCGGGTTCCAGAACACCAGCCCCTCTGCAGTGTGGGCTGCCCTCTAGCAAAGGGGCCTGGCCCAGCGCAGGCATGTCAGACCTCACCTGCTCAGGCGGCACACCCCCAACCCTCCTCTGGAGTTCTGAGGCACCATCAGGCTCAGCCTGGTTGCTAAGGGGGCGCTCCTTGGCAACCAGGTCTGGTCAGGCCAGACCCAGGAAGCCCACAGCACGCTCCTACCTGGCTGGCCACCCCTCCCCCGCTGCCCCATCCCAGTGGTGCCTGGTTGCTAAGGAGGGCTTCTCCCTAGCAACCACACCTAGCCAGCTCCAGGACCCCAGGCCTCCTGCCCACTGGAGGACCCCTCCGGGCACTAGCCGCCCCGCCCCCTCTTGGTCTGGTTGCTAGGGGTGGATGCACCTTAGCAACAGGCCCTGGGTCTGGACTGCAGCCCCGCATCAGAGCCTGGTTGCTAGGGAGGCGACTCCTGCTACAGGCCTGCCAGCTGGCTCCTGCATCACCTGAACCTGGCCGGGGAGGGCCAGCTCGCTCAGTGCAGCCGAGGGGGCTCAAAGTCTGGGGTTCACTGTGGCAGGGAAGCCCCTCACCCAGAGTTAAAGGGAGTGTCCCAGCACCAAAAGTCCTCTCCGTGGGCCGCCCCCAGCCCTTTCCTCAAAAAACACAAAGGAGGACTCACATTAATAACAGAGCTGTGCTTTAGCAAAGCAGCCACCGGAACTCTACAGACACCCCGCGGTCTGTTATTGGGGGGAGGGCCATGATCAATGAATTTTCCTGAGCGAGCTGAGCTTCGCAGTGCATTGAGAAGCCTTCTTTGTGGATTCTGCTCTTCCTTCAGACCTGAGGCTCTGTCCCTTGGTGGCCTGATTGGTAAAGGAGCTACATTTCAGGGAGGCTAACCTGCCAGATGAAACACAGGACTAACACCCCCATCCCAGCTAAAGCTGAATTTCACTGGCCTGTACCCTAGTTCTTGTATACATAAATAAACAAACAAATCTTTTAAAAAGTTGAATTTCAAATGCACATGAATTAAAAAAAAAAAAACAACCACAGTGTTAAGTACATCTCAAATATTCCATGGGCTATAATTACACTAAAAAATTACTTGTTGCTGTGTATCTTTTTTTTTTTTAAAGATTTATTTATTTATGCATTCAAGAGCTGGGGTACAGGCCAGAGGTGTGGGGAAGGTGAGAGGATTCACCAGGAACAGAGTGGGGAGCAGAACAGGCAGATTGATGAAACACAAGGCTGAGAGGAGCAGTGGGGCGACAGGAGAGGTCTGCTGTGCCCTGCGGGTCACTCTCCTGGCCGGGGATCGAACTCTCACTACAGGGGCACTGAGAAACTGCAGGGCTTGCTGACAGCTTCACAGTGCTGCATTTCAACCCCCTGCACCACCAGGAAGGGCCCATTGTTACTGAGTATCTTAAACTAACCCTTAACTGGTGTCCTGGATTATCACTTGCGCAATCTGGTGATGGTCAGTGTGGGGGCCTCTGCGTACCTGAGCTCCATATTGTACCTGAGTGTGCCAGCCCCCTTTAGCAATCGGATTGTTTAGGAGGCCGTGTCCCCTGACTCTTGGGCACCTCAAAACCACCCACTGTCCTGGGAGAAGCTAGTAGCTGTAGGGACACTGCTGCTGCTGCCCTCATGGATTTTCAGTCCTATTTGGAGAATCTTGGGCCCTGGATGCCCTTTGATCTGGAATGTTCCCTGCCCCCAGGGGAGAGCATATTCTGTGGGAAGGGGGAGGTTGGCCTGAGGACATACCTCTGTCTTGCTTCTGGGCCTGCACTCCTGCCCCAGGACAAGGCGTTGGGGTGTTGGGGTGAGTGGCCACCCCGAGTCAGTGGCTCTGTCTCCCCACCCCCCACAGGGCGTAGGCGTGTGGATGTAGCAGGCCTGGCTGCAGGGCTGACAGCCGGCATCCTGCTCGTTGTTCTGGCTGGTCTAGGAGCCTTCTGGTACCTGCGACGGCGGCACCAGCGACCCTGTCCCCAGGAGTAAGGGGGCTTCAGTGAGGAGGGTGGGAGGGGTAGGGACTGGAGGGCAGGTGGGGCGGGGGAGGACATTTGTGGCCAGATGGGCATCAAAGATGAAACGCCTGAGGATCTGAGGAGTGAGTCTGTGACAGGTGTGTGGCTTCAGTCCCTGACACACCTTAGGGGCTGATCAATATTTGCTGCCTGACTGCAGGACCAGCTTCTGTCTGATGATCAGTATCGTATCTGGGGAGGCTGCAGTCTGTGGTCTGTGGGTGTCTGTCGTGTGTAAGTTTCTGTGTGTGTGGGAGGGGTTGCATGTGTGTAAGTGTTTTCCATTGCAGGGTTTGATGTGTCATGGGGCTTGAGTGTCTGTCTTGGAAGTATAGTGAGCATGGGTTTTTTTTGAAGTTTACGTAAAAGTGGGTCTGGGAGATGTGGACTGGGTATCTGCAAGGTGTGTCTGTTTTTGAGAGTGTCCACCAGCTTCTACCCGGCCGACTTGTTCTCCATTATCGGGCCTGTGTCTGTGAGTGAGAGCCAGTCTCCAAAGTTGTTGATTTCTGTCTCTGTCATTTCGAGGCACTGTTCTTTTACCCTGACTCTGTTCTCCATCACCCTCAGTGTCTGTGTCCCTATGTTCTTCACTTTCTATATCTTGTAGGTCTCACCTGCTAACAATGCATCTTTTCTGTCTCCAGGGCCCATCTCATCAGCCCTCTGAGCCCCCTGAGCTCTCTGGGCCCACCGACGCCCCTGCCTCCACCCCCACCTCCTGGTCTCCCCACCTATGAGCAGGCACTGGCTGCCTCTGGGGTCCACGACGCGCCTCCACCCCCATACACCAGGTACTGGGCGGGGCTTCTTCCAGGGGCGGGGCTAGGACACTGCCGGGGGCGGGGCGTGGACTCGGGGGCGGGACTTGGAATTTTGAGATTATCCGGGGCGAGGCGTGGAGCCCGGGGGCGGGGCCTGGTGCAATAGTCCGGGGGCGTGGCCCAGCTTGTGTATGGAGCATTATAGGGGGCGGGTTTTGTGCCCAGAGGCTCCGGGATTGGCTGAGAGGCCCAGGGCGGGTCGGACCGGTCTAGGTTGAGGGAAGGGGGGCGAAACTGCCGTCTTTGACTCCCCACTGTGCCCCTCCCCTTTCAGCCTCCGGAGGCCTCGCTGAAGAACCCCTCGGAGCCGGGGTTCCCCGACTCGTGCCCCAGATTCGCACCGGGTTCCGGAAGCGTCCAGGCCTCATAAACTCCGGAGCAGTGCAGGGGGTGGGGGGGTGGGAGTAGGGTCGTTCGCCCCGAGGCCTACCCTGGCACACGTGTTTCCGCCGCGGGCAGATACAACCATGTCTCTGGCCGACGTGTTCCAGCGTCCCAGCCCCTTGCGGGCCCCTAAATTCTCCTGACCGTAGGGGTACCCGTCGGCCCCGCCCCCAGAAAGGGCGTTCGTGGAAACTCGGACGGACATCGCCCTCTGTTGCCACGGGCCACGCAGAGCCCCGCCTGTGCACACGCGTGTCTCGTGAGCTCCCCGTGCGCACAGGCTCGCTTCACATTCCGGGGACTAGGGGACATTAGCAGGCGTACTCGGTAGGGACATGCTGGCATTGCGCCCAGGGATCTGGAGTTGAGCTTTTCCCCTAACTAAAAGCCGTTTTGGAAATGAGACCGAAAAATGTGAAACAATGCAAAAAAATAAAAATCAAACAAGATGACCCGCGTTCCCTGGTGCGTCTGCGCGCGGCGAAGCTGGCTTTCAGTACAAACGCTGCGCCCTACACCCCCAGGCCCTGCTTGCTTTCAGTCTTCTCTCTCTCTCTCTTTTTTTTTTTTTGCATTTGCACGGGATTGTGGGAGGAAGCGGAGCGCAGCCAGACACCCCGCCGCCCGCCCCCCTTCCCCTCCCCCCTCCCCCAGCCGCCTTGTGCAAAGATGGCTGCACCGTGAGCGCAGAGGAGGAGGAGGAGGCGGCGGCGGCGGCGAGAGAGCGAGCACCCAGCGCCCGCACCCACCCCGGGGCCGCCCGGGACGCCCCCTCCTGAGCGCGCGCCCCCCCTTTTCTCTTGCAAGCGCCGGGGCAAAGGCGGAGACAGCGGGGTCCCTCCTCCCCCCCTTTCCCTCCAGGGGGAACCCCCCTTCCCCCCTCCTTGGCTCGGCGGCTGCACCCCCTCCCTTACCCGCCCCTCCGCCCCTGCCCCCTCCCTCCTCCGCCCGGGGCCTTCCCGGGCCTTCGGCGGCTGCA